CTTTTGAATCACAGTGAATCAAATGAATCATGTCTACCCCCTAGGTTGAATCATTTTTCAAAAGATGTAACAAAAATGCTTTAAGCAGCTAATGCGGAAATTTTCTCATAACATACATTACAAGCACTTTTTGTATTCTGCACAATTTAGTCCGAAAAAAAAACTATGTGGTCACTATTAACACCAACTTGAAATATGCGAATTTGTGCAAAATTTCAAAAAATGTGTCGCACAGCTGTGCTTGTAATTTGAAGTCGGAATTTTAATGTCGCTGATTGTGATTACCGTTTAGCGAACCTAATACCTTTTGAATGTCAGCATTTTTTGTTTTTGTTCATCTGGTCATGTATAGTTTTTTCAACACATACTAACTAACTCTTACCATAACATCAATTTTGAATCGAAATGCATACTTTAGTACCTGGTATTCAAGACGGTTGATTCAAACTGAAATTAATTTTCTGTTCAGATTAAATTTCACATATAATATTATTTTATTTTCACAAATTCGTTTATTGTCACATATTATTGTTAATATAAACACTATAAAATGATGAGTCCGTAAAAATTAATGTAAATGTGAGAAAAAGTATTAAAAAGAAAAATTATTAAAATATATCTCTGACTATCTTGGAAGATCTTGGTTGAATGTCGATACTTCAAAATCAGAATTAATACATGCCCTGGACTGTCCATCAGGATATGGAAATCTATATCGTCGAATGTTCAAAATTTTATTTCGGTTTATTATTAAAACAATAAGAATCAACATGGAAAGTAAAATACACAAGAGTATTAACAAATATTGTATGCTATGCAAATCGTTTTGTCGTGAAAAAACTGAAAATGCTTCAGTTAAACTAGTTGAAAAATGTTCTTGTATCAATTTCAAGTCGTCGTATTTTTCATATTTGATTATCGTAGATGTTGTGGTGCTTGCATAAATGTCAGAAGAATCAATTTCGTCTTCGCACTTAATTCCGTGAATATTAGTTTGATGCGGATCGGCGGTCGTCCAATCATTTATAAACGTTATATTTTGCAACATAATTTTTCTCATGAAATCCTTCAAATAACTGCAATTAAATTTATTACCGCTTATGCCCAATAGCTTCAGTGATGGCAAAAGCATTTGAGTAAATCCTTCAAGTTCGGTCAATTGATTTTCGTTCAAATAAAGTGAATGAAGTGATGAATACTTTGGCAGAAATTGAGCAAAGTCAAACGTTTTCAATTGATTCCATGATAAGTCCAATAATTGCAAATTTCTCGTATGCGAAAATGTTCCCAATTTAACTTCCTTCAGGTTTGTATTTGATAGATTCAAATGACTTAAGTGTTGAAGTTTTGCAAATATTCCAATATTCAGAGTTTCGATAGGATTATTTGCCAAATTCAATTTAGTCAAATTAACCAGATTATTAAACGTTTCTTTGTTCAAAAAGGTGGTTCGGCTCTGATTATTTGTAATAAACAATTGATTGCACGATAAATCCAATTCGGTGATTTGATCAATTCCAGAAAATGCAAATTCCGTTAATTCATTGATGAACGTTTGATAAAGAAATAGATTTTTCAGGTTGTGAAGTCCCTCAAAAACGCCCTTATTGATTGATGCAATGTGATTATGAGACAAATATAGTTGCGATAACTTATCGAGACCGACAAAAGCCGATGGGAATATTTCAATTGTCGAGTTGCTTAAATGCACCAATCTCAGTATCTTCAAGTTGTCCAGTCCATCAAATGCGCTTTTATTTAGTTTTCGAACGTTATTAAACGACAAATCCAGTGTGGTGAGATGTTTTAAAGCAGCAAATGTTTTCGGTTCCACTTCATTGATTTCATTGTTTGATAGATTCAGATTCTCGAGCATAAACACATTTCCGAACACAAGGCCATTTAGGTTTGTTATATGATTGTACGAAAAATATACACTAGTCAATTTTTTGGCACCTGATAACGCAAAAGAATCCATTCGTTTTATTTTGTTGTAAGAAAAATCAACTTCTTGCAAATTATCCGCATTGAGAAAAAGTAATGCCGGAATGTCCTCGATGTTATTATGGCTTGCGTTGAGCTTTTTTAGATAACCGGCTTTAGTGAACATATCTTTTTCAAGTGTCTCCAATCCAATGTACGAAATGTTTAGCTCTTGAAGTTGTGTAAATTGTTGAAATATATCGTATTTTACTACCAATTTAGACATTTCACAATTTTCAAATTGAATTTTATAGATTCGGGTTTTATACACATTGCCACTCTTGTTTGTACACCGCAAATATCCCAAGTTCTGATCATGATGATAATCATTTATCCGCGAACTATTTGAACATATGAAAGCTAACTTTCCGACACGATCCGAGTCGTAATAATGTGATGAACACTCAACAGCTTCAGAACTTGATGGTAACAGTAACTGATCACAACTAACCACCAAAATAAGTTTAACAAACAGAAAATAAACGAAAATGGAATGCATGGTTCTAGCCATATGACCGTTTAATTGGACTTCACTAAAGTAAATGAACCGCTTGAAATGAAATCTGTTTATTTCAGTAAAATTATCGGGTCAGCAAATGCATTACTTGAATACCATTTGTGCATTATATTGCAATATCAGCTTTCAAAGAGGAAACGAACTTTGATACTTGATACTATGTAACTCATTGCACCATTTATTATTATTCAATATTAAGACAAAACAATCATTATCATATAAGAACACGTGTTTTTCAGAATTTTTTCAAAAATAACTGCATTTATCCATTTTGCTTGAACAAACAATTGTAATCAAATCAATGTGTAATTGAAATATGTAAGAGCGAAGATAACAAATGCGTTGATAAAATGTCTTGAAGTCATTAACAAATTGCCAACATTGCATATCACATTCGATAACATTCAGTTTTTTGTTATAATAATTGTGAATAAAGCATAATATTGCAAAGAATAATAAACGAAAATAAAGTTCAACTAATTTTTCTTTTTATCATTGTTGTTACTACAAGTCTTTGCTGGGCGATAGCTATCGCTCTTTTTTGATTTGTGTGTTGGTTTAGGGAAACCATATACGGCAAACAAAGATAATTGCACAGCATTCATCAAAAGGAAGACTGCATTTTGAAAGATAACAAAATATTCACGCGTCACTACACCATACAAGAACCACAAAAACGAAATCAATGTTCCCGACAATATGATTGGGAACGGCATACCAGCAGTACTCTTGTTGCGAATTATTTCACCCTGGAATTGAAAAATGAGATTATACAAGAAGATGAATGAGGAAAAGTCAAGAAAGGTGTTGATCAATAAATACCAAATGAAGCATTGGAGAGCCCACAAAGTAGAATAATACACCCGTTAAAATTAATCCATAACGAAATGGAAGGTCTTTTGGATTTTCAATGTAGGTATATAAGAATACTGCAGCCACAAATGCGGACGCGTAACCGATTTGAATCCATGCCAGTGTTTTATCTTTAACATTATTCGTATAGTAAAAGTAATAGCAAACGTAGCCCAAATTAAGGGCGGTTCCAATCAGATTTACATGAAGTGTTGTTGTATCATTTAATATTAGTCCGAAGCGTAAAAATATTATAGATCTAAGTGAATCAAATGAAAGTAATCAATGTAAACTTAGATCTTATATTTTGTTCAATATTACTCACATTACAGTGCCCACTAAAAATGGTATGATTGAGAATCCAACGGTTGACTTTTGTTTGCGAATGCTATTGCAAATGGCAAAGGCACTTAGTTGATGTAAATATGTTGCAATTGCAGCTGAACTACTTATCAAATCCTTATAAGGTTCCAATAAAACTGCAAAGGACTCCATTTTTAATTACTAAAATTAAGACGCGAACGATTGAACATTGAATCAATCCGAAATGAAACTGAGAAATTATATCTATTAGATCTAGTATAAATACAAGTTTGTTTGGTGATATCAGGTGTAAGTACTAATACTAATAAACAAACGATATGAATGCAATTTCACGATATTTTTTGAAATTCGTTTCTGTTGTGTATTTTGAACAGAAAAAATATTTTGCATTGTTACACTATTTAAAGTTGAGTGTTTGAGGACATAATAAATAATCTTAAACTTGTTGTCAATAAAAAAGATAATAATTTTTTAAATCACAGATAAAACTTCAAATATAACATTCATAGTTATAAGTATTTTAATAGTATTCAGAAGCGTGCTTCTACACAGACGCACGTGGCTTCACTGTAGGTAATTTTACAATATAGGCACCAAGGCATTTAAACCTTTCTAGTACTAATTTTGTGTGTATCTTAATAATCACAGCTGATATGATTGAAATGATGATTCTACGTTTTCATGTGTATTTCCGCATTAATACGTATTTGGTTATGCATTTCTTAAACAAATCGTGTGGAAAAAAGTGACTGTCTGACTGGTTAGCTTAAATCAACTGAAATTGAATTTTTTTAAATGAAGTCCTCTACCCAGTCGACTTTAGTCGTCTATATGTATCTCATTTTAAACAGATGACTAATTTGGGACGTTTTTGTCTATAGTTAACTGCGATTGAAGTTGAATCAAGTTGTATTTTTCTCTACTAGGATTGACTGAAAAATCAGCCAAATCAACTTAAAACAACTTCAATCTCAGTTGGCTTTTGCCAAAAACGTCCCAAATTAGTTAACTGACTAGTCAATCAGACTTAGATTTTATTTTATATGTTTGATTTATTTTCTTTTAGACTTATTTCAATCAATGAATTATGTTTATCAATATCAGAATTTCAAATGCACTTTGAAGCCTGATTGTTAGAATACTTGATGACGCATTTTCCCTGTATTCCTATAAATACAAGAAGGGAAACGAACGCCACGTCACCCTTATTAATTATTATTAACCCTGAAATTAAATTAGACATAAAGGATTGTCTTAGAATGAATGATACTGTCCAGATTTGTCATAAAGTCATATTAGAACAAGATATGATCTGTACGTCAGCATTTCCGCCTGAAATAAGTTCATTTATCCATTTTTTCTCTAATGAATAATCAAATCAAGTTAAAATTGAAATATCAAAAACTGTAATTTATTTAAATTCTTTATTGCATAACATTTCATGAAGATAACAATTCTTTTGATAAAAGTGTATGAGGGTCTTCTTATTGTCAATAACAATTTGCCAATATTGCACATCACATTTGATCACATTCATTTTTTTGTTATAACAAGTGTGGATAAAGCATAGTATTGCAGAGTATAATAAAAGAAAAACAAAGTTTAACTAATTTTTCTTTTTGTCATTGTTATTAATGTTTGCTGGGCTACCGCTCTTTTTTGATTTGTGTGTTGGTTTAGGGAAACCATATACGGCAAACAAAGACAATTGCACAGCACTCATCAAAAAGATTACTGCATTTTGAAAAATGACAAAATATTCACGCGTCACGACACCATACAAGAACCACAAAAACGAAATCAGTGTTCCCGATAATATGATTGGAAACGGCATACCAGCAGTACTCTTGTTGCGAATTATTTCACCCTGGAATTGAAAAATTGGATTATACAACAAGTTGAATGAGGAAAAGTGAAGAAAGGTGTCAATCGATAAATACCAAATGAAGCATTGGAGAGCCCACAAAGTAGAATAATACAGCCGTTAAAATCAATCCATAACGAAATGGAAGGTCTTTTTGATTTTCAACGTAGGTGTAGGCGAAGACTGCAGCCACAAATGCGGACGCGTAACCGATTTGAGCCCATGCCAATGTTTTGTCTTTAATATTGTTCGTATACCAGAAATAATAGCAAACGTAACTCAAGTTAAGCGCGGTTCCAATCAGATTTACATGAACGGTTGTTGTATCATTTAATATTGCTCCGAAGCGTAAAACCAAAACAGAACTAGAATTTGAAAAAAGATGGAAATAATGAATAACATACACACTTATGCATAAAGTGAATTACTCACATGACAGTTCCCGCTAAAAATGGTAGGATTGAGAATCCAACGGTTGACTTTTGTTTGCGAATGTCATTACAAATGGCTAAGCCACTTAGTTGATGTAAATATGTTACAATTGCGGCTGAACTACTTATCAAATCCTTATAAGGTTCCAATAAAACTGCAAAGGACTCCATTTTTAGTTACTGAAACTAAGATATGTTGAATCAATCGGAAATCAAACTGAGAAATGGTGTATCTATAAAACTCAAACTGTGTCGTTATTTGAAGTGAGCAAATACTGATAAAATGTCTTATATCAGCTATGGAACTGTTAATCAATATTTTGAATGTTGTGCACATAGATAGAAAGCGATAACTTTAATTGTATTTGATATTCTTTTGTCTAACTTGAGATAGCAGTCAATCAAAACTAGATTCACTAACAATTGTGATGTTTAAGAAAGCAAAAAAAAAGAGAAACAAACGAGAAAAATCAAACAAAATTCAAATTAAAAATTAATTAACGGCAGAATTCAAATGAAATTGCAAGAAAATAAAGCAAAAAGCAATGTTTCGATATTTGTTTGAACGTTTTTTTTTCTCTTGAAACTCACAGTTTGAACAGCTTCGCTTAACACAGCCCAAACACTGAACTAATCATTCGAATAGTTGGGAAAATGTATTCCCTATTCCTATAAATTCAATAGTGTCATGTTACGTAAATACCGCAGTAGTTTGTACTTCAATGCCAACGAAAGACCTTCAACTACGCAAACACTGCAGGCACTTTCTGCAGAATCATTGCCCAACAGATTGCTAAATCGTTTACTTGTTGCTCAATCTTTTCTCACATAATTTCTCAATTACTTACGTTGATAACAGAAAACAGTCAATGAAAATAGAAAATTTAATTGTGGTGAAAACTATATACAAGTATAACTGTGTAAAACCAGCTCAAGTTACGCGCGATATACAAATGGAACTATTATCATTATCTTAGATTGATGAGATTTTATTCGCAACGATAAAAAAAAAAAAACAAAATACTAGAAATGTTCAAGTACTTGTTGCTATGTAGACGTCAAAATGTGTTGGCAGTTGACGATGCGACGCACTCTGTGTACACGAATCTGAATTAAAAATGAAAACATTACGAGAGTGAGAGAGAGAGAACGAATTTGACAGAGCTTGTTTTATTCATCAACATACAAGTTGTCATTTGGTTTTTGTTCATTCTTTGTAATTCCAATGCGAAATGGCTTGATTTATTCCCAATTAATCATTAATCCATTGAATATTCGAGTATTTATCGACTTCATGTCATGAACAATTCGCATCGGGAAATGTTTAACAATTAGTCAATTTTTTATATTAAATATATCAAAATGTATACACTTTTGCACGGTTTCTACAAATATATGGTACAAAAAGATGAATATTGTGTCCTCATTCTTGGATTAGATGACGCTGGCAAAACAGTAAGTAAATAAAAGAAAATTATTTGAATGTTTGAAATAGTTGATGTGTTTTGATTAATAATTTAAGACGTACCTGGAAGCGGCTAAAACAAAGCTCACAAAAAACTACAAAGGAATGAATCCAAAGCATATAACGACAACGGTTGGCTTAAATATCGGTCAAATTGATAGTTCGGGTATACGGCTCAGCTTCTGGGATCTCGGTGGACAGTCTGAATTACAATCTTTATGGGATAAATATTATCAAGAATCGCATGCCATTATTTATGTGGTTGATTCACATGACCGTGAGCGAATGGAAGAATCAAAAGCAGTTTTTGGTATGTAAAAAAACTTTTGATTCAAATATATAAACATTTAAAATTAATATACATTAATTTGAATATTTCAGATAAAATGATTTGTAATGAACATTTGGCTGGCATTCCGTTGCTGCTGTTGGCAAATAAACAAGATTTACCCGATTGCATGGGTGTAAGAGAGATTAAACCAGTATTCCAGCAATCGGCCATCCACATTGGACGAAGAGACTGCTTGGTGATGCCAGTTTCTGCGTTAACTGGTGAGGGTGTACAAGAAGGCATTCAATGGCTTGTCGACGCTATTCTCAGAAACAGTGTTGTTCGATTGCCTCGCGTTAAAGATTAAAAGATAATTCAAATTGTTTTTTCTTCTAAAACTGATTTAATTTTATTTTTTTCTAATATATTGCATGTGATTTCGAATGAAAAATACTAAATAAATATGAGTACCAATGAGAATTGATTTTTTTATAGGGGGCGCTGTCAGTCATCACTTCTATATAGAAAAATTCAATGAAAACAAACATTAAATGCAATATAATTTATTTAAAATCAATATTCTCCACGAACAAAAATGATTTCTTCCACATTTTATTTAATAACCACAAAAAAAAAATTGATTCAAGTGCAAAAGAATGGAATAGTTCAAAAATTGCGCCGAATTTCAACACAAAAAAATGTCTAGTGTCAAACTGTCAAAACATACATCGACATTCATTAACAACTATTTGTCATCAATTGTTGTGAATTAGGCGTGGACTTTGTGGAATATTTATTTTGTTTATAAAAAATCATTTTTACCAATTCAAACATACTAAAAAACGACCTGAACAAAATGAATTCAATGAAAATAATTGCTTGTACAATATTATTTGCATCCATAATTTCTTCTTGTAAGTTTTTTTTTTTTTCAATTTGTGGCTTGTGTTGGCATTGCGTTTATTTGCATTTAATAAATGGGTTTGGTTTCAATATTTTAGGTGCTGCACTTGAATGCTATGTGTGTTCAAATCAAACAGAGAATACTGAAAAATGTCTGAATACTATTAAAACATGCGAACAAGGAGAAGATGTTTGTTTGACAGAGATCCGATGGGGCAGTCAACCATATTTCACTCAAGGTGCACTGAAGCAGTACTATGTTTCAAAAAGGTGTTCAACCAAAAAGCTATGTACAACCATTCGTCGAAAGTACATGCCGTATTGTACCCACATTTGGTATGAAGATTGGCTTTGTTCGGAATGTTGCCAGGGTGACAGATGTAATTATTATGTTATTAGCGGTTCTGAACGGCTATCGTACTACTTATGGTACGTTTCGGCAGTAATTACATTATTGGTTTATCCAATACTTTCACTGTAAACGAAGACACAAAAAAAATTAATCATATTGACATTGAAAAAGATAAAAAAAAAAATCAAATTTCGATCAATTTGAGGTCAAATCGAGTTACTTTATTTGTAAGATCGTCAAAAATCACAATCGTGTGCCTTAAAAATTTACTGTTTTATTTGTAAATCATTCGTACCGTCCATTTAATTAAAATATTGTAAAATGATCTGTAACGATTCCGTCCAAACGATTTAAAAAATAGTTTCAATAGTTTAGTTTCTATCAATGTTTTTTGATAAGAGTTTTTTAATTAAAGAGAAATAAAATTGATATTTCTGGAAAATAACAAAGAAAAATTTGTTCAATTGTTTGTTCTTTTGTGATTTAGGAAAAAGGGAAGCAAAAAAAAAGAATTTTTTGTAAAATATGTTAAAATGTCGATCTTGATGTTTTGGAATCTAATCAAACATTGTTGCATTTGTTCACTAATATACATCACACCGAGAGACTGGATGTGTATACAAATTCTATGGGATACAATGAGGCAGTTAAAGACCACTTAAAAAGTAAAAAATTGAATTGAAGTTTAGTTGCAATTTGGATCTAGACGCATTTTTATCGATCTATTTGTTCGATTACAAAGGAGAGGAGATTTGATAAAAACAGAGAAGAGGAAAGTGTTTGTTTCTATTCAAACGTTGTAAGTGCTGAGATATTTGTGTTGGAAGCTCCTCTCCTCCAATTGTATTTACAATTTGAAAATAAATTAAATAGCACTTAAAGTTCATCGCGCAGCAATGTATATCGATTCTTTGACGGTGCCAATTTCTTAAATGTTGACTCTGGTGGCTGCGTTGCTTTATCTTGTGTGATTTGATTATCTTCGGTTCGATCGGGTCCATAGTGGAATTCACGATGCAATTTGCCGTTATGTAAATCTTCAACAAACTGCTTCAGTTTGCCTGGTGTGTACATGTCTTCAAACTTGGGGAAGAGATACATGTGCCTGAATGAATCGATAGCAATTAGTGGCAAATCAGATTGTTGTTTCCCCAAGTGATGTAATGGATGTGCAAAGCGTTTGCCATCAGCTGTCAAGAAATTGATATTTTCTGGAAAAAAAAACACAAAAAGTTAAATATGTGTTGTGGAAATAATTATATTAAAATAAAGAATTATGTAGATGTGAAACAATACATACGTTTCTCCGATAGTAGTTGTGATTCTACAATCGCTTTATAATTTTTGATCGATTCGGTATCATCGGTAGCGTGGAACAAGATCCTATTGTTAAAAGAAATAAGAAATTTATGCAAAAGTCCAAACTTTTTTCAAAATTTTACGTTAGTAATGTACTTACAAGAAAGGCATTCCTTCTTCAGTTAATTCTTCAGCATTCTCAAACGTAATTTCTCTGCGAACAATAAACAATTTTCATTAAAAAAAAAAAAAATTGTTATATTACACAAATTAAATGAAAGAAATAATAATACCTAACAAGTGGAACGCATTTATCTTGTGCCCAGATTTTCAATTCATCAATTGAATTGAAGCTACCTTTGAATGTTTCATCATTATCATGAGACAAATCAATGTCTGGTCGAAAAACGATAATTGGAACGCCTGGCGGATGCATTTGAGCTACAACATCACCAAATCCAACATAAAAGTGACAATCATCCTTCAAATTAGCGGCCACTCTGCGGAAAATGGAGTACTCGGTCATATCACGACGATCGAAGTATCCAACTATAATTCGTTTTCGTGTATCCAATTTTTCTAGATCTTTTAAAGCAGCAAACTCTTTAATTGGATCCTTCAATTGATTGCGTACAAACTCGACGAATGCCTCTTTGCTCCTCTGGCCACGGTACTCGCGTTTCGATACCTCTCCATTTTGAATGATTTTCAGTGTTGGATATTTTGTGATTTGGAAACGTTTTGCAATCGCTGTTTCTTCATCACAGTTCACTTTACCCATCACTACCTGTCCAGAGTGGTTGAACTCTTTATGCGCCTGAAAATTACAAAACATTATTATTGTGTATACTTTACATCGTATTCACAGAATCAATTGGTACAGGTTAAACATGTTTTCATTTTCATTTACACACGCAAAAAAAGTTTAAACACGTAAGATTAATTACCAAATCAGCGGCTTCATCAAATATTGGCTGCAATAAATTACTAAACCGACACCAATCCGCATAAAAGTTAATAAACACTAATTCATTTGAAGCTGAAATTCGTTTTAAAAGAAAAGCGTTATAAAATTATACAAAAGAGAGATAAAAAGTTATTTGTTTTTCGTGATGACGATCTACCTAATGTCATATCAATATTATCATTTTTCAACTGCACCGCTCCACTGTCAGCTGGATTATAAAACACGTATCCAACCTATGTAAAAAATCAATCGCAAATAGAAAATCAATGAATCTCGGCTAATACACATTTGATTCGATTTAAATTCAATAAAATCACATCAAAAACACTTTGAAAATTTAGATATAATTAATGCCACGTACCAAAAGTAGTAATAAACTCCAGTTCATTATTACTAATTTATCGCTTTACTAATTCTATGTTAAATTAAAACTACTTTGTTGTTCGCAGTCCCGACGTTTTCTCACTTGTCAAACTTGTTGTAAAGGTTATGTTTGCGTCTTTAGTGTATCAGTGTATGTGGCAAAAATGAGCACACCAATAAAAGATGTAGACGTTTCTCCTAATGTATTTATTTGACAGTTGACACAGTTTATGAGTGCGTTCATCGGTGCCTTGTCTTCGAACATACTGAAACGATGCGAGAGAAAAATATGGAAAAAACCGTCGTCATAAACATGATTCAAAATGAACAAAGAAATTACACATTGAAACAAAACCTTTGCAGAGTTTTAAAAGTAAATAAAATACAATGCCAAAAATTTTGGAATCTTCTTCGCAATGTTTTTTTTATATTTGTTCACGTTAGCTTATCGCACACTTTGCGAAATTTTAAATTCGACACTACACATTCATATTATTCAAATCACGTACCAGATTTCGCACACACCCAATTGATATGCTTGCCTTCTTGTCTTCGCGCTATTATGTATTCTTTTTTGCTCCTTTGTGGTTCCTTATACGATGTTGGTCTGCAGATGAAACATTAGTGGTAATTTTTTAAAAGAAGGAATTGCCTTATTCGGATGCAAAATGAAGTAGAACTCGTGCATAAAATAAACACAGATGTTTTACAGCGATTCTGAAAATACAAAATCACAAATGAACGCTTGAGAATAATAATGAAACTTAATTTTTGTTCAAACTGAAGTGTCCCTTCGAAATATTTCCAATAAAAGTGTCCCAAGTTTATATGGCAAACTATATACAAACTGGGGACACTTTTATTGGAAATATTCCGAAGGGACACTTCAGTTTGAACAAAAATTAAGTTTCATTATTATTCTCAACCATTCAAATACACATTCATGCGTTTCAATTTATTTTCCTTTAAAACATGTTTATATGTTTCTGTTATTCAGCTAGGCTCAAATCTGTGCCGCGTAAATATTTCACTTTTGTTTATGTTTATGGCCAATGACCGTTAAAATTATGCATAGTAAAGCAAAAGTTTACTATCATCTTAATACAATACTTTTGCATCTTTTGTGTAGTATATATTGGAGCATTTGATGATGCCGCAAATCACGGTAATAATTTTGCCATAATAAAGCATCAGATATGCTTTCAATTGTGACTTGCTTTCAAAATCGCATTTATATTTTATTGTTTTTTCTGCAAACACAACAAACTGTTCCGGCTGAAATAGAATGTATGAAATCACTGATACACGAGATTTTCGTTAGAATGGTAGTGGTATTTGTGAACACATGTTATTTAGTGGATTCCTTCATGATAGTATTATTTAAAGCGTGCACAAGCCAGCAAATAGGCCTTATGGTTATTGGTTTTATTGTTGGCTATTCACTATATTGTAGGCGATTTCATGCGTCAATTTTTCTTTTGCGCACGACCATTGTTCTATCGTACATGTTGTCCTCTATTTGATATGGCCCAACGGATTTCTCCATTGTTTCATGAATATGATAAATGACGATTGTCATATCTATTGCAATACTAAATGATGTGTGACCGCAGTTGTAATAGACTTCCAGAACTGTAATAATACATGGACACCTAGAAGAAGCCTGCAACCAAAACGAATCTCGAACTGTATCAAGATATATTGCAAAAAACTTTGAATTTGCATACCAACTAGCTTTGAAATGTGTCACGGGGCTTCCAACGTTCACCAATCCTTGAACGTTTTGACTATTCATTCCAGACAAAAAACTTTATACTTATTTGAATAATAAATCAGTTCGGTTTGCTATTTATAGTCTGAATTTTCGATATATTTCAACAAATTTAAACGGCATTATGTTATTTCTTGTGGATTTCTATCAAAGTTTATGTTCACCACTTTGTTAAATATGTGGTTAAAAGAAGCCAAGTTACATTTTATTAAAAGTAAGTAAAATATTTCGAAAAAATTATGACGCGATGTGTTTGATACTACATCAAATCTACAATTTTGTTAACATAACGAAAAACCCTTACATTTGCACTTCTATGACTGCAAAGTATTTTCGAGTACGTACACACATACTAAACACTAGAAATTTCGGTTTGAAACAAATTGTGTTTTCGCCCATTAGTTATGTCTGAAAATGTGCCGATATAATCGCGTACTGGATTTCGTATATTTACAAGGAGATTTAACCAAGATTTCATCTTGAGATAGGGAAAAAATTATAGCCGCAATTTGCGGGTGTAGTGGCTGATGGCATAACAGTACGGAATTTTTTTTTATAAAAGTAAAAACAAGCAAAGTCGAATTGTCGATGACCTCGTTTTCTGCGATACAATATTTCCAGCAGACTTTGTATTTTGTTATTTGTCCATCCATTAGCTACACAATATATATCGTATTGGTAAAAAAAAAACGATGGAAACTGTCTGTTGCGGAGAATGGGAAAATCGCTTTTTCGACTTTGTTTTTAGTTTCAGTTGCAAACCGAGTCTCTTTGCCAACACATTGTCATCGCTTTGTAACACTAATGATGCCCCTGTTTCGTTCGATATGTATTAACAATATACAACTTTTGGTAATCGCATAAGAATTTTTATCCTGCACAAAGTCCAACATAGCATAGCCAAAATCACGCCAATGCATGAGCACTTAAAAGTGGGATAAAACATGGACAAGCGAAAACTAACGTACGGCACGTACGTTTGAAGACAAAATAAAACTTTGAACTGTCTTACAGTAATAATAAGTTCAAGTTGACAATGTCGTGATCTGATATAAGACGTCAAATGGAAAGTAAATTTTATTCTCGTTTCAGCAAGTTGTTTTCAACTTTTCATTTGTGAAATTTTGAAATATCTTTCAGTAAACAAACTGAAATAAAAAGGAAAGCTGAGAATGAAACATGTACAAAGGATTCAAGGGTCATTGGAGATTGTTTGGATAAGTGAGGAAATGCCATTTTTCGATAAAAAAAAATAATCTTAAAAAAAAAAAAATGGAAATCGAACGATGAATGGTTATACGTTACAAGTGCCATTAGTTTCAAGCTTTGTAACGATAGCCGTTTCAAACTTAAACCACCCGAGGTATTTGTGGAACCTTTTATTCCGATTTTAATTTTTGTGTACTTCTATTATTGTGGTCGGACGCTCTTTTTTATCAAATTAAAAGCGATGATGATTAAGCACGAATTTCTCTTTTGAACAGACGACGTATTGTAGTCAAGTGGAAGAGGTGGCATTTCATTGTGGTATGATTTATTTTTCTCTTTGGGGTTTTCGCTCTTTTATTTAATTCGAAAAAAAGGTTAAAAATGTTTCAAGTCGAGCACCTTGATAATAGGTTTGAAATTGAATCTCGGTTTTCTGTTGAATGTTAAAACAAAAAGAATCCGGGCTGATCCAATGTTTGAATTCAAACAGCTTTAACGTACTTCTTCTTATGCTCAGTTTTTTCTTCAGTATCATTTTGCCACCACGAAACAATTCAAAGCATTGCAATATGATATTAAGTGGAATGTAGCCACCAGAGAAAAAAAATGTATTTACGCTCGTCTATTTTTTTATTTGTCCATACAAAATATTTATATTTTTGTGTGTTTTTGCTCAAAATGGAAAATATTTTCTTTTGGTTTGTTTATTTTTAATTTTCTTTCACTATTTCCATTTTATTAAAGAAGGGTCAGCTTTGATTTGTGGTCGAATGTGCTTCAGTTAGGTATAAAATTGAAAAAGTGTTCTTATTCTGCTTCTTAATTATTCCGAAATATGAAAATGTTTTGATTTCTGCCTTTCTTCATTTGCCGCATTTTTTATTTAATGTCACAGAAAAAAGTCGCAAGTTTTTGAAGTATTTCAAATTTATGGTTTTCTGGGTTGATGTTGAATCAATGCCACTTTGGAATAAGAGCGTGTTTAAATGTTTAAAATACCATATTTTGTTTTCCTGAGTCTAGGAAATGGTAAATGTGCTATTAGGTGGAAAAAAGTTTTGCAGAAACATGCAATCAGCGAAATTCCTTTGCTTGATTTACGATCTACCTTTATATATTGTAATTAATACTCAAGCACATACATTTACATACGAAAGTCCAAAATTTCAACTGTTTTCAAACACTCAGCGCCTTTTTCCTGGCTGATGATTATTCACTGAAATCTCTTTTGTCGCAATCGCGAATTCATTGTACACATATTCTTTCGAGTCTTGCCCATACAGTATTTATTATGAGTTTTTGCTCATTGTTGCGCATCCTTTAGCCGCTCCCCTTTAAGTTAAATGGCTCAATTTTCACTCAATGTCAAAGCTTTTACTCAACTGACTCGGTGCTCCTCTCATTTCCTCTCTCGGATAAAGTTTTATTGTTATGTGACTTGAATGTATTGAAGACTATAAAGGTTCTGGAATGTTTGATACTATCATGAAGAGATAATAATTAACTCAACGGGAATCGAGATTTGGACTTACCAGTTTGAGACATCTAAATCAACGAGAAAATGTGTCGGTGCTGTTTTTGATGTGCCGGTCAAAATGATTGTTCCCTTGAAAAATTTCCTATATGACATGTCTTGCAGCATTAATGTTTGAGAAATATTTGCAACGAGATATGTGTATCCGATGTATGTTTTTTACAAGAATGAAAAATACAGTAGATTTTTCATGTCCTACCAAGTTAAGGACGGTTTTTTATTTAGTGCGACTTTTGTACCTTTTAAGTAATCATCAACATAGACGCTACAACCAATAAAGATCAACATGATTTGTTAGAAAATGACTGAATTAATTTCACTTTCAATTTGAATAGCGTATAAGAAGAAGTCACAAATTAGATTTGAAAAAAATATACATCTGTCCAAATTAATATAATCATTCTTTGTAAATTGGGTAATATCGAATCGGTATATTTACGATCCGACAATTATATTTTATTCTCACCTTAAGAGCGTAATCCAATTTGAAAGATAAGTGAATTTTAACGGGTCGTATTGAATGTTTGAGTGCCAAACATTATTCGTTTGGATTGCTCTTTTCGTTGTTCAGATTCACACAGATAAATAGTAAGTATCCATCACGGCGGCAATTTGTTTGAGTTCCA